TTACCCACAGTTTGTGTTTGCGTGAAGCGATACTATGAGTACATAAAGTATAACCAATTTCTCGAAGGCTTTCCCAATTCCTGAAGTTATTTCTCAACCGATAAATAAGACTATTAATAGTTTTTTTGCTATATTTTATAGTAATTTGTAATTACATGTTAATTAAATGATATTTATCTTAAATTACATGATTACAAATAGTCACATTGGGTACACAAAAAGTGCAGGGTCAAGGGTCCAAGTACAGTATACGTCAACGCAATGTCTCATTCATGTCTATATACTTTCCCGGATTTACCACTAGTTTTGCAATCAAATTAATTTGATTGCAAGGTAAATCCAATGATATACAGATGTGAAAACAATCTGAAATTACAAATTTCCCTAAAATGAACTATATTTGACACTTATTTATATTGACAAGTATTAAAGGCAAAAATGCAACCAATTGCGGGAATATGTTTGGAAACATCGGGTGTTTATCGAAACCCCAAACACTAATGTTTTTCATGTGATTGTTTGACTCAAGCGTTGAGTTAAACGCCTATTGTATTGACGACTCGCGTCTAACCANTGATTGTTTGACTCAAGCGTTGAGTTAAACGCCTATTGTATTGACGACTCGCGTCTAACCATCACTTCATTTACATCTCATTATCATTATCTGAAGACATGGAAGAAGTGGACAAAATAGTGATCCAACAGTTGTGCGAAATTGGATGGTATTACACGACATCTTCTCTCATTTTAAGACTATTTTTGTGACCAAAGTTTGCTTTACTTGCAGTGAAATCGACGACGAGATAACGGGTATCAAAGACCTCGAAGTCTATCAGATCATGTCATGTGTTTGCCATTGCATTCATCTGATTGATCCAAACAATAGCAATGAATTAGGTGTCAAACAGATCAACGAGTCGATGAATATGTCCATCAAATACAAAATGGCCACTCATTTGGCAAACGTCTGCAAACAAGTAATGGATTTGATTTGAATGACCATTTGATTGATATGTTTAATGGGTTTATGATATGTGTTCAGGAGTTGGGCTATAAGGCGGACATCGGGTACCAGACATTCCTCTACGGCAATGAATCCGATATAAGAAAACTGTTTTTGTT